CCTACGTCTTATCCATTCTCTCCCACTGGCCGTCCACACAAATCTTTTGCGCCTTATCCCTTCTCTCCCAAAATCCCTATATCGGCGATTTCTTCCAACCGCCGATGTTATGTATCCGATGTTATGAACACGCCGCTTTATAATCTCCGTACAATAGCGATGTGATTGTAGATCAATCGTGCGGCGATCTGAAGATGTGGTTGTTCAAGGACGGCAGATGATTTGAATCAGGGGTAATTTCGGTGAAATTTTTTTGTTATATTTCAATCGGATTATCTTCATGATTATATACTCCCTTTTTCAAAGATTATTATGAAATATTAGATCTGAATATCTTCCTTTATTCTTCTTTGTTAAATTCTTAGGATCTTACTCCTAGATGCATGTTAGCCGTTTGATGACTCGTATTTTTTTTTAAAAAATCATTTTATAGAAAGATTTTATTAAAATATTTTGAGTAATTCAAACAACATGCATAGAATTTCTTAGTTTATCAAAAAACATTTTTACTCCGGTTATTGAAAATGTGTTCTTAAAAGTACATATCTGTTTTTTCAAATTTGTTTGTGAAAAGAGTAGTATATTTAATCGATTATAATCTCTGTAAAACGCCTATCTTGTTGAAGAAATTAATATTTTTCCAGTAATTCATAATTTTGAAGTGAATTTTATAATTTTTTCAAGAACATATCAATTCTTTTTACTCTGATTCGTAGATGTATGCTATTATTTCTATACCTATTTTCAGATCAAGTGCTTTGAAAAAAAATTTTAAAAAGGAATTTTTTTGTACAAATAATTTTGTAGAATAATTAAAAAGTTCTTATTTTTCTGAAGTTTTCTCAAACATCTTTAGTCTTAAACGCGAAATATTCATTGCTAATGTTAAAAAATAATAATCTAAAACAGGAAGTATAGATGAATGTTTACACAAAAAAGCCATTGAACCTTATTGACCATGTTCAATAAGAAATGTTGAACATGAGGAAGGTTCTATTGCACATTAAAAGTTTTACTAAGGCAGAGAATGAAAAGTAGACAGAGATCGTCATGGCTGGTATGTCATTTAAACAGGTAATGAAATATTTTTATTTATTTAAAGTACATATATATATATATATATATATATATATATATATATATATATATATATATATATATTAATTTTTTCTTTATTAATTTATGTAAGCAATAGAAGTTACCTTTGTCCAATTCCTCTTCTGAATCATGTATTGAAAATATTCTTTCAGATTTCGTGAGCTTTCTCATCGGGGAGACACTTATCACAGGTATCCTGTTTGAATTACAATGATATAACTAAATGAGCTTGCCAAATTACAAAAGTAACATGGATTATTGATAATTTTATTTTATCATCGAAATAAATCATTTTTAGTCGTTTCAGAAGTGTGATTTGAAAAGTTTTTCCAAAACTGATTTTTTCAGTCACTGGCATTTTCAATAAATTTAGAACAATAGTCTCTTAGGAATTTTAAGAATAATAAGTCAAGACCCACGAAGCAAAACATATTTGTTTCTTAAAACCATTTTGAAATCAGTAGAGTGTAAATTACTAACCTTAATGAGGAAGAATTTAATGCTAGTCTTGAATGCTCAATATCAACTTCAATGAGATAATTGGTTAGGAGATTAAGAAATAAATGAGGTAAGTTAGAGGGAAACACTAATATACTTGCAATCCTATTTAGTGTATTAAATGCAAGGAACTAAAGCCTAGGTGATGATAGGTGTGTGGCTCAACGTTCTGTGGTTGTATTAATTAGGGTTCGAGTTCCCATTACTGGATTTCTAATTGTATAAATATTTACTGCTTATATGTATATTAAGATATATATATATATACACACACACACACACACACATATATATATATATACACGTATATATATAAATATAGACACAAAATAAATACATGTATTTGTATATTTAAATATTTTAACAATTTGTAGATGAAAATATTAAAACACTATTTTCATTCTGCTATGATATAAATATTTAATTATTTAGAAATAAGTATTTATTTACGATTATATATATAAATATTTTCACGCACTCCAACCTACATATACATACACAATAAATATATGCATAAATATATATATCTGTATAGATTAATTTTTTTAAAAAAAGAAAAATTTAATATTTGAAATAGAAAAACAATTTATACCTGCATATTTATGTATGAATATATATATATATATATATACATATACATATACATATACATATACATATACATATACATATGCATATACATATACATATACATATATATGTACATATACATATATATATATACCCATTTAAGAAGCAAGGAAGTTATGAATGAATGTAATATAGATATTTATTTTTGTTGGGCCCTTATTTAGGGAGACATGAATTTAAATATTGGATTATGCTATTCATGTTTAATAATTATTAATTTCGATCTTTTTATCAAACATACATGTATGTTGAAAATTTCGTGTATAATTTATCTAAAATATGTCAGTGTCTTATTTTATCTCTAAATCATAATCTCGTGTTTATTAAGTCATTATTTTTAATCTTCAAAATATCCATGAAATAATTTCAATTAAATTATATTATTATATCATTGAATATTTTCGAAAATTTAAAAATAAAGGAAATTAGTGAATAGGCATAGGTCATAATGAAGGTAGTAAAATCTCATTTAATGCAGTCCCAGGAGTGTGGCTCTAGGAGTGTAGAAATCAAACTTAACTTTTTTTTAAAGAAGTCACTTCAATGGGATTTTGGAAAATATGATATTTATTACACATTGGGCCACACAACTCACAAATTAATTTTTTCGATTTTCCATTAAAAAAAGGAGCATTGGGCCACCCACCAATGTGTAACTTCACATTTAATACACATATGGCCACACACCTCACAGATCAAATATTTCCATGCTTAATTTTTTTAATTATTACTCCCTTCAAGGTTCTTATCTTATAGTCATGTATGTTTATCCATTCTTCTTTACGGAGTACATAATATATATATGTATATATATATACACACACACACACATACATACGTATATATTCGCATATATAAAAATTCTTTTAACATAAAACTATATATTTTTCTAACTTAGTACCAAAATTTGGATTTATTTTTTCGATGTTTGAAAATCCTGATTTGATAAATATGATATTAATTACACATTGGGCTACACACCAATGTGTAATTTCACTTTTTTTAGGCGTTGGGCTACACACCAAAATGAAGGGAGTAATACTTCATTTAATGCAAGATCTTTTAGTATGGTTCTATAAAATAATGGAGCATTGGGTTACACACCTAAGTGTAACTTTACATTTATTACACATTGGACAACACACCTCATAAAAAACAATATTTCGAAAATATAAATTTGTAATAAAGCATTTACTACACATTGAGCCACACACCAATAAAATATCATTACTTAATATCGGATGGCAGTATTCATTTTAATTGTTGTATTTTCAAGGTTCTTATCTCACATTTATACATACACGTATATATGTAATATATACGTGTGTGTGTGTGCGCGCGTTTTATATATATATATATATAAACACAGAATCACTAATTTTATATATTCACATTTATAAAAATTCTTATATCAAAAAACTATATATTTTTCTAAATTAGTACCAATGCAGGCCATTTTTTCGATTTCTGAAAATCCTGATTTGATAAATATGACATTAATTGCACATTGGGCTACACACCAATGTGTAATTTATCGATTTCTTATGCATTGGGCCTCACACCTCATAAATAAATGTATTTTCGAAACCCTATAAATGAAGGGAGCATTGGGCCACACACCAAAAGAATATCATTAAATTTAAAGGAAAATAGTGAATAGGTCTAGGTTATAATGAAGGGAGTAATACTTCATTTAATGCAAGATCTTTTAGTATCCTTCTATAAAATAAGGGAGCATTGGGCCACACACCAAAAGAATATCATTAAATCCAAAGGAAAATAGTGAATAGGTCTGGGTTATAATGAAGGGAGTAATACTTCATTTAATGCAAGATCTTTTAGTATCCTTCTATAAAATAAGGGAGCATTGGGCCACACACCTTAGTGTAACTTTACATTTATTACACATTGGGCAACACACCTCATAAATAACAATATTTCGAAAGTATAAATGTGTAATAAAGCATTTATTACACATTGAGCCACACACCAATAAGCATCATTACTTTTCTTCGGATGCCAGTGTTTTTTTATTGTTGTGTTTTCAGGGTTCTTATCTCACATTTATACACACACACACACACACACACACACACATATATATATATATATATATGTAACATATAGGTGTGTGTGTGTGTATACATACCGAATCTATAACTTTATATATTCGTATGTATAAAACTTTTTTCTACACCTTATTTAATTATTTATTGAAATTAGTACCACAATTTGGATATTACTTTTTTTCGAGTGCATATAACATAATGTGCCATAAATTTCACATTATTACACTTTGGAACAGAAAACAATATTTAATAACGCATTTTTTTCATTGGGCAACACACCCAAGAAATTTTGATATTTTCTTAATTCTAAAAATTAAAGGAGCATTGTATAAACCATTAGTACTAATTTTTTTAATAGGCTTAGGCGTGTGGCTCTAGGACCATGAAACCAATTTGCATTCTTTGTGTAGAAAGTTGTTAATCTAATAAATACTCGTAAAAACTGGTTTTTATAATTATGATTCCATATGCTTAACCAACTTGCATTTTTCGAGTGGACAGTAAACTCCATAAGTTTTGTATATATTGTTTTCGTATGGTTGGCTATACATACTTATGCATGTTTATCAAACCTTTAGGTATGTTTATGATTCCTTAGCTGTTTTATTGAATTGACTTTGCCATAAATTAGTGATAAAATATGCACACGTATATTTTTACATTGAATATAAGCACAATGATATTATATTAAAGATTGTAAGTTGGTATACATGTAAATTTTTACTTTGAACATAAGAACACAAAAGGAATGCAAATTTGTGATTTTCTTATGACCCAATGATAGCATTTCAAATAGCTTTGATAATACTTAAAGTGTTATAAAAACACTTCTAACTTAAGAGTTCAACATCCAAAATACTTAAGGAGATTGTGGAGGATAAGAAAACAACAATGGACTAACAAACACTTTCATAACCCCAAAAACATAAAGACAACATTAAACAAAAGACAAAAAGGGTTGTCCAAAATGGGGTTACATAACCGTCCTTAAACATTCACACATCCTCGTGAATCATTTTGGCCTTCTTCTTTGATGATTGCCCGTCCAGTTCATCAAATAATTCTCTTCTCACGGAGTCATTCTCATCGACATCATCAATCTTTCTTGGCCTTGTGTTCACGCTCTGGCTTGAACTCGGTTCACTTGTACCAATCTATTTTAAAATTTAGGAATAATTAGAATAGTAGAAAATAATTATAAAAACAAATAGATAGAAGTAAAAGCATTATACCACTTCATTCACTTTTTGGCTCAAATCTTCTAGTGAATTCCACCAACCTTCACTTTCTTCCTCGGCTTCCTTGTCCTCCACAAATGCAACATGTTCATAGTTTTTCAAGATCTTCGGGTCAGTGACCAAAGATCTAACACCAAAAGCCCTTGGCCCTGTCCAATGTGGACTACCGACATCTGGTTTCAAGAGAACATTAAACAAACACTTCTGTCCAAGGAAGCGATTCAATTCGGTTGTGAGCAAATTTGGATCCATGTTTCTCTGTTCATAAAAACAATAATATACAAAAAATTAGATATACGAATATACTACTTTTACAAATTTTTTATGAAACATAGATTCCGAAAATAACCTCTAGCATAATCTCTCTCAATAAGAAGGCGCTTGCACCCAAGACATTCTTGCATTCTCTGTCCCAAAGAATGAATGAGGCATGACCGGTTGAATCGTAAACACGAACATTAACTTTGAACCTATTTGATAAAGTGTAAAACGTGCATTAACAATAGGTCACATAGCAACATAAATGATTTGTAATTTTAAATAATCAAAAAGAAATTAAACAATAGTTACTTGTAAACTCCATGAGGAACAGTAATACGACATCCGGAACACCTGAAACTCTCGCCATCGGGGAGTACTTTCTTGTTGCAATCAGTACATCCCAAATAACACCAATCAGCAACATTTTCTAGAGATGCTATTTCACCAACAATCCAATATGGCCTAGGCTGTCAATAGATTCAATATTATTGTTAGGTCTAAGTGTATTATATTTTTCGTTCTCAACGTGAAAGTGTTATTTTATTACCTTAGTTGTCTCCAATAGATTTCTAATTGTGGTTATAGACATAACCCCGTGATCATCATCATCTACCCCAGCTAGCATGAGACCACCCACTGGACCCCCATCATCAACATACAATGGTAACCTACAATATTTCATTAGTAGATAGTTAGTAGACAGAATAATAATAATAATTTCGGCCAAAAAAAATAATATAAAATAAATTGTTACCTTGCTCTAAATGCATTGACCTCAGCGGAATTGCCATCAAAAATCATATTTGTTACGTGGAATGAAGTTGACACCGTCACAGTACCTACACAAAGAATTTATCTTTAGTAACACAATATTAAAATTTATATTGCAATTAAAGTTTGAGGAATCTATCTTACCCATGTAGTGTTTTGGTTTGCAAAAACTCAAGAGTAGAATCATGGGTTCCTGCACATTTTGGGTCAAACAACCCAAAAATCTTTCCACATATTCTCCCCATAGGGTACATCCCAAACGATTACCCGTGAAATTTTCACACACTTAAGCAAAAGTGAATGTATAGTGTTATATGAACATTTCATATCAAATTTTATTCATACTCATGATCTTCTAGTGTTATTTCCATCAACTTTTGTTCTTCGTTCATTCTTATGTGTGTTTGAACTTTTGACCGGCCAACAATTTTCCCAATCACATCTGCATTGATTTTCTCGATGAGTTTGTGTGTATGAATGATCATTCAACAATGTTTGCATATTATGATACTTTGATAATTTGTTTAAAAAATAATATAGTACCAATCAAGACTTGATCGTTCAAAATCGGTTGGTTTTGAATCGTCGCAAAAGATTTCAAATCAAACATGAAACGTGGAAAATCGATTCCATCCAATGTTTTGACTTGTGTTTTTGCGTAAAAACCCAAGAGTTTCTCATTTGAGGTAGTTTTGACGGATTGGAAATTGTCATGAACAAAAACATCCCGAATCCCATAAACACCGTTCTCAACAATTTGATTCTCAAACCGTTTTTTTCCGGTTTTTTGAGATGCGCGTGAATCCTTGCGCCCTATACAAACAAAGAGAGTTTAGATTAGAAATAGTTAATATATACATTACGATTAAGTACAAAAAAATTTGGAATGTAATACATGTTCATCGTGAAAAACGACTTCCATTGAATCTCCGCTTTTGCTCCAAACGGGAACAAAATACACACGCACAGCCCGTAACTTGAACATCAAAGTCGGCCGAGTGTTGCCATGCTCACCAACGGGAGACCACATGCTTAAAGAAGACGTTTGAGACATTTGATGATTTTTTTGGATGTTTGAGGTGTGAATTTGGAGTGAATGAAGTTTACCTTATAATGCTTGAATATTTATAATCATGCTCCATGATACATGTAACCATGCATTAATTGGTTTAGATTTTAAAAATCTTTAAAATAAATGGATTTGACACAAAGTAATTTTTTTTAAAACTACCTTTATGGTATCAATAGCCACCAAATTTATGCTATCAATGCAACTTTTTCGAAGCTAGTAATGAATGGACATAAAGCAAGCCATTTCCGTATTCCAATGCAGTCCAATTTCGTCAACCAATGCAGGTCCATTTCATCAACCAATGCAGGCCCATTCCATCAACCAATGCAGGCCCAAAACCGCAGCAAGGCCCGCCTACTTTAGGCGGGAACACTGTTTACAGAGAATTCCACCTAGCATTGTATATAGGAGGATTTGAACCTGAACCCAAGATAATCAAACCCGACCTGACCGACCGGTTTGCGAGCTCTAGATAAAATAGACATAGCAAGTAATATATACATTCCATGAATTATTTTGAAAGCAAATTGGGCATCCAAAGTGATGAGCACACTTATAAAACACAACCTTGAGTTGCATAATTAGATAAATCTCCCAAGTTGGATACCATTTTTTGCCAAGATGGCTTACACATGGGCCATTTTTACAATAATCTACAAGTTCTAGACATTTCTTGTTTATTTTTGTTCGAGCGATATTCTCTAATAATATCTGTCAATGGACTGGACGCTCTTGTTGGAACGGATATCTGTCAATTCGGATGGAAAACATTGTGCCCAGACTCCTATTGCACCTACTCCTCCAGCACCGCCTGCCCCTAGCACATGTCCATGCGCGAGAGGGGTAGGAGCAGGTGCGATAAGAGCGCCTAGGCAGGAACATCCCAGGACCCAATTTAGGGTTTAGGGTTTAGGGACAGATATCATACCAGCAAGAACGCCCAACAAAATGACTTGCAAAGAAAAATAAGAGTAAATCTGATTAGAGAATATCACTCAAACAAAAATAAATAAGAAGTGCCCAAAACTTACATATTGTTGTAACAGTTGGGCATCCAAAATAATGAGCACACTTAAAGAGGAGTACAACTTTCACTTCAGAAATGACAGAAATGAGGAGCAGCCATGCATAATTAGATAAATCTCCCAAGAAGAACCTGGATACCATTTTTTTTCCTTTTTTTATTTACATAATAATAGAGTACAGGCATATATCTATATCGAATCGCTGCCTTCCCCGTGCTTGACAATCAAGAAACAGATGGTCGTGGCAGCCTCTTCGCAATCTCCTGTTACAGAAAAATACCCCCAAAAAAAAAGAAAATTGAAAAGAAATTCATCATTCCATCAATATTAAAGCTCCTATGCATGGGGAAGAAACACACCTCGAACAACTGGTTTATATTGTCTGCTGTCTTAGCAGAGGTTTCTATGAAGAACATTTGATTCTTTTCAGCATACTCCTTTCCATCCTTCATAATGCACACAGTAAATCAAGTGTTGGTAACTTAAAAAAGAAGTTTTCAGAAGAATTAATTGAAGGACAGACAGTCTTGCTCACTTCAACAGATACTTCTCGTTTTTCATTGAGATCGGCTTTGTTCCCCACAAGGGCCAAGATTATATCTGGGCTTCCATGCTTCTGCAATTCCTACAAATGCCATTATGCGAAAGTTGGTCACTTATCTCATATTTATACAAACACATACTCCGTATTCGGCAGCGTAAGTATGGTAGGCCGTATACTAATACACTCCCTCTGTCCCAAATTAGTTATCCTGTTTCGAACAATGTGCAAAATCTCCTCTTTTAAAATGATTTTATTTACAAATTGGTATAAAATAAAAAGTACAACTTACATATTTAAAAACTACATCAAAAGTTCGACACATGCCTATTTTGTTTTATCAGTATGCAAACAAAAGTAATTGAAAGTTTCAGATATTGAAGAGGACGACTAATTAGTACGAGTATGTTTTAATAGGGCACCAAGGGCCCTAAATCTTCATAAGCCAGGACCGTAAGGAAAAGACATCCCCCCACCCCAACCTACTCTGCAAGATAGAGGTCTGAAATGAGCGAGAGCATGTGCCAATCTAATGGCAGTACGCTTGACATCAAAAGGAATCAAAACTCTAAAAATAACCCAAAATGGCAGAAATCAAACCAAGAGAAGAATCATTATCTGCACCACTCCAATCACCACAGCACGGAAACCCTCACATCATTGTATTTGACTTGATCAAAGATTTAGTAGACGTGATAATCTTAGAGTTTTACCTAGACCCAATATTGTGCTTTGTTGAATGAATCCGGATTTGTGATGTCATATACAACAACTGCAACAGCAGCACCCCTGTAGTAAAGTGGAGCTAGCGCTGCATACCTATATGATGATTATGGTAATAATAATAATAATAATAATAATAATAATAATAATAACAACAACAAAGTAGCCTGTATAAAACTAGGAGACTTTAATTTCATTGAAACTGGTCCTTAGAGATATTGGAATTTAAATGGTACCTTTCCTGACCAGCAGAATCCCAAATCTCAAACTTAACTGTAGTCAAATCTTGCAGGGCTATCGTCTGCGATAGAAAGGAAGCCCCAACAATAACCTAAACCCATCAAAACAATTTGGTTTAGAAATCTGCTACTTCTATACTGTTTGGAATTTAAAAGATGAAAGAATTTAACATGCACTTATCCGTTGTTTGCCTTGTTTGGTTGACAGATTTTGGTGTATGTGTGTGTTTGTGTGTGTTGGCGGTGGAGGGGGCGTTATATTTATTCAATTTATTCTTACATCAAATGCATTCAGATATGTTGGAAAGAAAATGAAGTTGAAAATTTATATCGAAATAAACAATTTAACCAAACATATACGGAGTAGTTATTTTCTAGTGTAATTGTCCGAGGGAAACAGATAGAGATAAAACAGTAAAAAAACAATAAAACAATAAAATGGTGCTACGAGATCTATTGTTCTACATGAAGCACTGAAGCTATGAAAATGGAAAGGTTCTAACTAGCATCCATCGTCAGATAGCTTTACCTTTGATGTTGGATCAAATTGACCACGAACAAAACGTAGAACAATGCAGCTTTTTCCAACACCAGAATCACCCAGCAGTACCAACTGCAAAGATCATCGTGAAGGTTAGGTGTGGCAGTACAAAACTCGCGCTTTGATAAAAAGGAAGCTAAGAAAGACTGTTTTGTAAACATTTGTTTCGAGGCATCCAAACGTTCTTAAGGTCGCATACTTTCATAAATCCCTTATTTTTCATTTTCTCACCACTTACACAGAAAGAACATTTCTACTTCTACAACATAACAATTAAAGTAAAAATGCTATGGTGATTGGTTCAGAGCGTTCAGCGGTTAAGTATAATGTATTGGCATGCTCACAATAAATCAATTTCTAAATCCCTTTCTTGTTTCCTTATCTGGCAAGCACCCCAGCTGTCTTGGGAGACAAATCATACATCTCCCTATACTGTATATGCAAACAAATTAGCAGCTCAACACAGTGTTCGAAATTGCTTGGCGTAACCCGCCATATGGCATGCCTCATGGCATTTTCCGAAAGATTACACCCTATGGCGACCTAGCCTTAGGCAATAAAGATTGCATAGATATTGTGCAGATATGGCGGGCAATTGCGTAAATCCTGAGGCGTACGCACTGAGGCATAGAATAGCGTACGCCATTTTTTCTTTCCAAAAAAGAAAGTTAGTCTCAAATTAGTAATTTAATTACAATATTTAAAAGTTAAATTACCTGAATAGATCCTAACCCTATATGATTGCCTCTCCTATACTGTTTTCATCTGTCTTTCATTGCATTGACCTTCCTAGAAGAGCTGCTTTTCCATTATTTATTATTTTACACGATTTGTTGTTTTACCAATTTATGTTTTTTAAAGATACCACTTATTCTTACTAATTTGTCATTGTTTTTTATTTTTATTGCTACTGATTTGTCATTTGAACTTGAAATTGTATCTACATTATTGAGAGCGTATTTGGCCAATATTTTGTATTGTTTCATGCTAGACTTTGTCGTGTTTGTCTGTTTGAGTGAGATATTTTACGTTGCCAATATACTTTTTAAAGGTTAATGCATTAATTATGTTATTAATAATGTTCAATATTATTTTTGAAAAAATTATATACACAATTTTAAAATTTAAAATTGAGGCTTACGCAATACGTCTTCACATAAAAACACCTCAAAACCGCAATACACAATTTCGAACATTGGCTCAACATACTTCTGTCACATGGCTATAAACAGCCACTTGCAAACACTATCATATCCCTAAAGAGTAAAGACCATAGCTCTATCATTTTTGTATTTTTTTTAATTTTCCATTAATTTACTTCTTTTCCTTATAAACAGTCCAAATTTTTTAGGGTTCATTTGCAGCACCATTGTCAGGATTAAGACCTCCCTTCTGTCCCAAACTCCTATCTGTAGAAACATCAAAAGAGAAAAGAAAAACTTAAAAACAAAACAAAACAAAAACTACTTCACCCTAACAAACAATTCAACCAATAGCCACCATTCCACCAAAGAAAACGCGTTTTATCACAGAGAATCAAGTCAATTGGTCTTCATTGAAGGGAATTGAGGAGAACACAGAATCAATTGAGCTGAAGAAGAAATCTTACAGCAGTCACGAAGATTAGGGTTCGAATTTGGGGATTACCTGGAACCGAAGAGGAGCAACCCATATCACACTACCCTTATGGCCTTATTCCGTATGTCTGTGTATTTCTATCTATGAAGATATACATATACTGATTATCCGACCTTGGAATTCTTCCGTGTATGTCGTAGAAGCAGAGGTGTGTCTTGATCTTCTTCCCCTTCGATCTTGCCCTTACGTGTCTATTACTCGTTTTTTTATTCATTTTTAATCCACTTATAAAAATGATTAAATTCCAAAAAAGAACCTCAGTTATAAGTCGTTTTACATATTTAGTCCCTACATATCAAATATTACTAATTTAGTACCCAATTATTACATTCATTTTCACGAATGGTTCTTTGTTAACATTTTCGTTAAGAACATAGATAAAATTATAAATTCACACTCCTCTCTCTCCTCAATTAAGCTTCATCCTCTTCTCATATTCTTTCCCAAACACGTTGTTGAATTTGAAGGTCTAAACCCAAAACTAAAATGATCATTACTCTCTCAATTATTAGTCTTCATGGTGAAATCTAAAATCAAAGCCAATAAGTGTTATGGATGAGTTTTATCAGTTAGTCTTAAGAAATTGCAAAAAAATACTACGTAAATATTAAAACTCATCCATGAAAGTTACTGATTTCGAATTTGGGTTCCACCAGTTAGACAAACAATTGAGAGAAGAGTGATGATTTTAGTTTTGGGTTCAAAGCTTCAAACTCAGCGACACGTTTGGAAAAAGATTGCAAGTGGAGGGAGGAAGCTTAATTGAGGAGAAAAAAAGTGTGAATTTACAATTTCATCCACATTCTTAATGAAAATATTAACAAAGGACCATTCGTGGTAATAAATATAATAATTGGGGACTAAATTAGTAATATTTGATATGTAGGGACTAAATATGTAAAACGAACTATAACTTGGACCTTTTATGAAATTTACTCTATAAAAATTGATATAAATTTTTCAAGGAAGAGGTGATATGAATACTGTATAGTGTGGAATGATGAAAAAATGTGTTAAGGTGAATATGATTAGAAGTGATGATGTGTGAAGATGTATTAAGTTTTGATTGGTTTAAAATAGAAAAAATTAAGGTAGTGTTTGGGAACTAGCAGTTCATTTCAATTCATGCATTTCAATTCCAAAATTTGAAGTCTTGAATTTCAAATGACAAGAGAAGGTATATGGATTTAAAATTGAGCACTGTTATGAACTAGACAAATTTTACTGAAATCCAAATCTAAATTTTTAAAATTTCCCAAACAAGGATTTTGAGCCAAATCCGGATTTGAAATCCAAATATAAATTCCCAAACATGCCATAAAAAGAAATAAAAAGAGAGGCAACGCTCGTGAGCGCCAACAAGCCCAGCTTGTCACGCCTCCCTGACGCCCGCGGTGTTGCGGTGGTCACGCTGTGACAGGACGTGACGCCTCTTTCATGCCCATGGATCAAGTCTCATAACACATAGTCTAAGTTTTTATATTTTTCATGAACTGGTAATAGAATTTTTTCTTTTTTATAAAAGTCTCAATTATTTTATGATATCATTACACTAAGATTCATAAAATGAACATTAACTTTAGTATCACGTAAGAATTTATCATTGATATAATTTAAAGGTGTTACTGATATAACTTGTGTGATTTTCACAAGTACAAGTAATAAGTTGATAAAATAAATTAAAAAGAATAAGGTTTAAGTTATACTCCCCATGTGGGAATTTTTTTTTTTTAACTTTTAAAGAGTTCAAAAATTAACGAGTAAAAAAATATGATTGGAAAAGATTTATATAGTCATTTTTAAATTAAGACATGGTAACTTTAGTAACTTTCAACTATGTAAAAAATAGTTTAAGTGAGATATGGTTTAAAGTATACGTACTTCCTTAATTTGGCCTCTTTTTTTGGAATAAATCATTTGAAACACTTACACTATTTCATTTGAAAAATTAACAGTTTTTACGTCTCCTATCATTTTCTAGAAAAACGTGACAAAGAACTTAAAGTGTGTAATTTTATATAGCATCACCCACAATTGTAGGGTCAAACAAGAATATTCACAGCATGACCCTCTTCGTTCTAGGCTCTCAATGACCAGACAATAACTGTCTAACTAGACGCGAGTTAGACACTAGTATTAGCAAAAGGCAAACTAAAACAGTCATTGCATGACCCTCCTTGTTTTGGGCTCTCGCCTCTCGATGACCTTATATCAACTACCCAACCAAACACAATTTCATCACTAGTATGAGCAAAAGGCCTTAGGAGTGTAAAGGGATGGAGTCGCAAACATGAACGAGTAAGAATTTTGTATGGAGGAAGAATATTGTGAAACAGTGTTAAAGAGTTATGTGAACGAAGAACGAGATGAACATGATAGAGTATAACGAATTGCAGATTAAAGTTATTTCGGAGTATACAAAAATTGTTTAATCAAATAAGATATTGAATCAAGAAAGTGCACTAAAAAATCGAATGCCTCAACCATACCACCATATCTATATTTATATAGATGAAAAACAATGACCACACATGAGTGTTCAGGCAAAAAACATCTGTTTCTACAAAGGATTGCTTGCAATTCGGGGTATTTTCGAACACATATCCATATAGTTGAACAAATGTGAACTCCATGTTTGTTCCCAAAATTTTACAAAGAATTCGAGTATCGGAACAACCCGTGCAACATAGCTTGTCAATGTTGGTTCAAGACTGCTGATCCTTCTTCTCGAACTCGATGATCAATGCAGGATCGACATTCTCTCCGGGCTCCCAAGTTGCCTCTTCCATGTCCGACCACTTCACCAAATACTCCACCTTCTTCTTCTTCTTCTTCTTCTTCCCCTCTTCTCCCCCCATTCTCTTCTCCAAAACCCTCTATGCCACCGCGTACTCCACCCCCGCCTCAAAATCGCCCACCAGATCATCAGCTACAGCAGCGCGTTTCACCCACTCGTTTGCCTCTCTGTCCTTCCACTTCACCAGGTACTCTGCCTTCTCCCCCCTTCCCCCTCTTCTCCATTATCTCATCCACTTCTGCAAATTCAAACATTGCATCTTCCAGAACCCCAATCACCTTCTGCAACCCTAGCCTTTGGTCGAATTGCATTGGGGTTAGCTTCTTCAGGATTGTTCTCGCCAGATCTAGGGGGGTTTGCCCCTTGGGGTCTGCTCCGAGTTCGATCAGAATCTTCACTGTTCCTGGCCGGACATAGCCTACCGCCATGTGCAGAGGCGTCAAGCCGCCACCGCGTGGGTCTATGTGATTCACGTCCGCCCCTGCTTCGGCGAGCAATTTGACGCAATCCTCGGATCCAAGCCCGGAGACGAAGAGTAGAGCCGTGCGCCCGTCCTCGTCTACGGCGTCCGCGACCCCTCCCGCCGTCGCCGGCGTTTAGGAGCTCCCGCAAGGAGGATTCGTCGGCCTTTTTGACGGCCGTCCGCCAGGGGATCTCGTACTCTGCGACGACGTCCTTGGCGATGAAATCGGAAGGGATCCAGGTCGGGGCGTGTTCGTCTTTCCACTAGATCAGGTATTCCATCCCTCTTCTGCCTTCGGCTGCCCGGCTACCGATGATCCTGTTAACCTCGCCATAGGATTCATCCTCCGCATAGCCGTCAAATTGATGCTGCTGCGGCGCCGGCGGAGCTGATCCTTTATCCGTCTGTTGCTAGACTCGAACGGCGTTGCAAATGGAAGGGATTCGGCGGAGACGGTGGAAGAAAAGAGAAACCGGCGGCGCAGAGATGAAGAGAGTGGGGAGATGAGTGTTGAAAAGGGAAAGATGAGAAGCAGCGAAAATGGCAGCCATTGTTGGGAAGATCGGGACTGGGTGCCCATGGATCACTGCTTTGAGTCAACCCACCCGTTTGTAGGATTCCCAATGGATAAATTGGATTATACTTTCATTTTTTAAACTAATAATTTTATTAACCCCTGGGTTCTCATGATATTGTGACCTGTGGTGTTTCGGTGCCCCATTCGTAAAATCGACGGTTCTTACTCGCTCTAACCTCCCCGGTAAACCCTTCACCTCTCTCCAACCCAAATACACCCTTCCACTTTCTTCAATTGCACCTCTCATGTTAATTTTGACATTGAAAATCAATGTCATTAAATATAGTACGCATTCATATATTTTTTATTTATCAAACGTACAAAATGATTTGGTTCTAACCAAAGTTTGAACAAAGTTTTTGACTTTCTAAATTTAAATCGGTCCTACTAGGGGTACACCACTTAGTGTACCCCAGTTGAACACCATATACACCCCCCACTCCCATTCCATAACCAACCCTACCCTCTCATTCAGAGATCTCTCCCCCTCACTCTTTCTTCCTCCTCAGATCCCTCAACTCCCTCCCTTCCTGCCGATGATCGACGCAGTATCAGGCCTTCATCATCTTCCTTTTAATTTCTCACTCATTCTCTCTTTCTCCCTAGATCTCGCATCTCTCTTCCTCCCCACCGGTGATTAGCTTCATCTTCGGCGTCCCCTGAAGTTGCACGGCGTGGGCTCCCCGCAGCCGCCCAGAAGCGTCACAACGACGCCATCATCATCGCCGAGCTCTGGATCGGAGTAGGGCGACGAACCACGCCTTCAATTCTTTCGCTGCCACCTGCTTCCCCCTCGTCGTCCGCTCCTCTATGATCGTCACCGCAACTTTCTTGGTCTTCAACAATGTCGCCTGAGCAGTTGATTTTGGTAGAGATGGTGGTGCAATTTTCACTCAGAGTACACAGACAGTAAATGTCTACGTTAAAACAATTACAGAATTGTAGTGTCTGTGTAACTAAACAACGTTGATTGTTGTTTTTTCTGTTGTTTTAAACATAATTAAATTTGTGAATGCTCTTAATACTCTACTATTTTGCATATTTAACGGGTGAAATTTTCATCCAGGTTACATAGATAATAAATGTCTATGTATCAAGAATTACATATATTCAGTGTCTATGTAACTAAACAGTGGTAATTATAGCTGTTTTATTTTTTTTACAATCTAGAGAAAATTGTGAAATGTTCTTAATGCTTCATTATGTGTATATTTGTTGGATTAGTTTTTATACCGGTTACACACACAATAAACATTTTTTTAATGAATTACAAATGTTTATTGTCTATTTGACCAAACATTATTACTTTATGCATATTTACTTTATTTTTAAAATACAAGAAAAAATTGTGAAATATTATTTGGTATATTTGACAAGTGCACTTTTCATACATTAAATACATATATTACATGTCTGTGTTTGAATAATTACAAACTTTTAGTGTCTGTGTGACCAAATTCGCCTGATTCTTTTTTACACTATTAGTCTTCTAAACCACTGTATAATTATCTATCACATAAACATCTATCGTCTGTGTCACTGAAATTATAGACAACTAGTGTCTGTGATAGTCTTGATGAACAAATGAAGGAGCTGATTTCTTGTGCAGGTTTTCAAGTTAGCAAGTGCAGGTTTTTCTTGGTTTTCATTTAGGTGGACGAAATACTTAACTTAGTGTCTTGTTTGTCTTCATCAGTGTCTGCATTGTGATGACTTGTTTTTGCATAAAGGCAGAAACAAAAAAATTGGTATACAAGGACAAGCCATAAAACTGAATATACAAGCCAAAAAAATGACAAAACAATGATCTTTCATTACACAAATTTCATCAATCCACTCAACACAAGTTATACAACATTGGTACATAAGTACTTGAACATCAACAACTCAAAATACTACACAGCTCCAAGAACACTACTAAATACATCAACCTACTTCAAAAGAGCAACCAAAACAACAACAAGACCCAAAAACTTGCAAAGGACCTTTATGGTTTGATATAGATTCACACCCCTATTGCAATGATTCTCACGGGGCAGAGTTGCATTCACTTCGTTTTGAGCTCCACGTGCATTCTCATGTAAATAGCTCTCATCCTCAAATTCTCCGTAGTTTCGAACAAACCGAACCATTACAGAGCTATCAATTGGCAGTGGCTCACCTCGAAATTCAGCCTTCAGTGGATGGCACCAAAGAAAAAACCCACAGTGATCACAAGTATAAAAAAGCCTACCTTTGTTTGGCTTCTCATGGTCAGTCACAACTCGAATTACACAATTTCTTGATTGAGGCAAATGTTGGAATTTTTGGCATTTTAATTGGCATTAAATGGACCAATTTGGGTATATTTGTCAATAGGTCCACTAACGGTTTTAACCGTTTATTAATGGACGTGTGTTCTCTTAAATGAGATAAATGTTTTGACAATTTATACGCCAAAAATGGTAGAGGGTGAATGAGAAATTGATTCTCAGAGTTAACCCGTTAATAAAAGAATATGGTGAGGATTGCAATTTTTGCAATTNTTATTCGGGACAAATTTTAAACGGAGCGTAGCGTAACGGACGTGTTAATGGCTAATTAATCACCATTAACACACCACTAATGCCATGATTAATTCAATGGGTTAATGGTGTAGGAGTTACAACTTTTTAAACTCCTTTATTATAAAAATCAAAGGCTCTCTCATTTGTTTTGTGTGTGCCTTGCGTGAGGAAGAGAGAAAAAAAGAGAAAACACTTTATTATTTTCTTTTAGAGAGAGCTCTTGATTTTCCGGCCAATTTTTCCGGAAACCCCTTTAAAGTTTTTGGTCGTCAACGTTCCTACGTTGTTCTTGTTCGTTGGTGTGTGGTTGGTCCGTACAATCTCCACACACGATAGCGGTTTTATCCTGGGAGGAGAGTGCCCACGTTTTCCGGTACGGTAGGCGGGCACTACTACCTTAAGGACAGCTCCGGCGACTCCGCTGTCCTTTCACGGTGTTGTGTTTTTGCAGCTTCAGTTCATAAAGACCTCGCTGCATTCTGTCCTAGTGCATAATGTCCTCGCAGCCCAGTGCATAATGTCCTCGCAGCCCTGTGCATAACGTCCTTTGCTTGCTGTCCAGTGCTTAAAGACCTCGCTGCCCAGTGCTTAAAGACCTCGCTGTCCAGTGCTTAACGTCCTCACTGCCCAGTCCTTAATGTCCTCGTACAACAAGGCCGTTTGAAGATATAGCAATTTTTCTCAACTTTGTTTATTTTATTTATTTTTATTACCGGGGCCGTTCATCTTTCCCGTCCGTTGTAATCCGTACAAAAATTTGTAACAATCTTAAGGTAGTAGTGATATCCGTGGCGGGTATGGACGGATTCGGTTTTGACGCTCACACCGGAAACGGGAGTAGTTCCGAGACTCCGGTTGTGAACGTTTCGGCTGGATTGGGTGGCTTTGTATGGCAGACCACTCCGATCAACTTTCCTTTCGGATCGATTGCGGCCGTGGGGTCTACTCCGATCACCACATTCGTTGGATCGAGCGCGACTATGGGGTCCGCTCCAGTCACCTCGGTTATTGGACCAACCGCGGCCACGGCCACAATGGTCACCCCATTCGGACCGAATATGGCTTCGGCCATACCGGTCATTCCCTCACTTGGACCGAACACGGGTGTCTTCACATTCGCACCGGTCGGACATCCTACTGTCATGCTGCCTACAAACTCTGTCAAAGAACCGGCAAAGTTCACGGGTGTTGGTTTTAAAATATGGCAGCAAAGGATGTTGTTTTGGCTAACCACCCTCAACCTTGCGAGGTACTTGAGGGAGGATCCCCCTGTTGTGGGGGAGAACGCGGATGAGCCAACAGTTCAGGCTAAAGAGGCATGGATAGCGAATAACTATACGTGCCTTAACCTTATCCTGAATTGCTTGAGCGATGCCTTATATGCTATTTATAGCAGGGCTGCATCCGCAAAGGAGTTGTGGACTACACTGTCAAACAAATACCAGGCCGAAGACGCCGGTGCGAAGAAATTCGTTGTCGGTAAGGTCTTGGATTTTAGGATGGCGGCGATTATTCATGTGCTCCCGCCAGCTTGGGATGAGTTCTGAAGCTATCTCAAGCTCAAACGGAAAGAAATGACTTTAGAACAGTTTCTTGTTCGTCTCCGGATCCGTGAAGAGGGTCTCACTCGCGAGAAGAAAGTAGCTGTTGCTAAGGCCAATGTGGTGGAGCATCCATCCAAAGAGGGTTCTTCCAAAGGGCCCAAGCCGAATAAGGACAAGAAGAAGCTTGGTCCTAAAGGAGGCGTCACATAGCCCAAGTTCGCGGGAAAATGCTACAACTGTGGCATTACGGGCCACCGTTCTTCAGAGTGCCGCAAGAAGCCTCAGAAGAAGAAGCAGAAGAAGGAAGAACCTCTCTGCTCGGAGCTAGATGCCATGGACCTTTGTGCTGTCGTGACAGAGGTCAACCTGGTCGGGTCTAACCCGAAAGAGTGGTGGGTTGACACCGGAGCCACTCGTCATATCTGCTCCAATCGGGCCATGCTCTTTGACTTTAAGGAGACTTCTGGCGACAAGGTGTGGATGGGAAACTCCGCCCAATCCGAGGTTCAAGGCGTGGGCAAAGTTAAGCTCAAGATGACATCCGGCAAGGAGCTCACGCTGAATGATGTGTTGTATGTGCCAGACATACGAAAGAACTTGGTGTCAGGCTCACTATTGAACAAACATGGATTCCGCATGGTGTTCGAGTCTGATAAGCTGATCTTGAGCAAAAAGGGAATATTCATAGGCAAAGGTTATATTTCTGATGGGCTTTTTAAGCTTAATGTACTCACTGTTGTTGAGAAAATTAATAAAACTCCTGTTGCCTATGTTTGTGAGTCCTCCA